CTTTGAGAGTCCAATCACCAGAACCATAGTCTCCGAACAGGTCATCATCGCCCGATGTACTCAGTAGATATGGGTTTTTTCAGGTTGTTGTTTACTTGCCATACATTTGGGAAGAATTGGAAGTTTTTGTTTGCCGAATATCAAAGATCGACCATGTTTGGTTCATATGGAATGTGTATCCATTTAATAAACCAAACATTGCACCATACACTCCTACCATGGCATTGCACCCTGCATGTGTCTCTGCAAGAAAATGTAACACCTGAAGACTGTTTGCTTTTGGGTTTCATGGTTTTCTCAGTGTAATGTCAGCCCGGGATTAATAAACCCCGGGCTGTTTAATTTTGGCGGCAGCAGCCCCAAAAATTGTGATATAACTGCCATTAAAATGGTCACCACGATGCGTCTTGGTTGGATTTTCCATGTTACTGCAATGTGGGGCCCCCCAGTTATAAGTTGGTTTATAAGCCCCAGTAACTATAGTTATAAATGCCATAAACCATAGTTATTGGACTTATAAACCAACTTAGCTATCTTGGGGGCCTCACATTGTGACCATGCAAATGCTCAGTCATTTCAACAGAAACGGTTGATCCTCGACTTTGACAAAGGCAAGGGAGGTCGTGATGCTGCGCACTTCATGTACCAGTTATATCAGAATGGCCAGGGTTCCAGCCAGTTTCCCAGGCACTATCGAAGACCTGTGTATTTTGTTCTCTTGCCTGACTTTTGGAGGACTCCAGGCATTTGCTGACGAGGAATGGAGTCGTGTTGTAACATGGAATCATGGAGATGTTCCTGCTTCGTTCCTCAAGATGGTCCAGCAACTGCCTGCTTCAATGAACGTGATGCACAAAGGCAGAGGACATATGTTGCCACCATCTGTCAGAGGAACATGGACAAAGGACACCCATCAATAGACTGGGAGTTTAATAGGGGGGGTTGCACATATTTGAGACCACTTAGGGGGTGTTGAATCTTAGGGGAATAGGACTAATATCACGATATCTTTATTTTGGAGTCCAAGTATCTTCACACAAGATATCCGTCCATGTCGAGAATTTCCATGGAGGCTGTTGGGGGCTGTTTTCAGGGTGTCGCAGTGGGTCTTCACGTTTCCGGCATCCGTTTGTCGGTGCCTTGGGAGATTGCAAGATCAACCGGTCTGGAGGGAAGCCAGACATGTTTTTTCGCGTGTTCTTAACTGGTTGGTGGTTTGGAGCATGATTTTTTTTCCATTCAGTTGGGAATGTCATCATCCCAACTGACGAACTCATATTTTTCAGAGGGGTAGGCTCAACCACCAACCAGTTAAAGTCTGAAATTCATGGCAATGCTTGGGGCCCACTCCATAGCATTTTGATTGGGAAAATTAGCGAAACGAATGATCTATGTTAGTTTGGCCCCTATTGTCTGATTAGTTTGGGGATTCTACCCAATCTATGAGGGATCATCATCCATGGGAATTCCTATTAGCCTCTGGTAATTTAACATAGCTATTGAAAATTGTCATTTATAGTTGATTTACCTATTAAAAATGGTGATTTTCCATAGTTATGTAAACGTTTACCAGAGGGTAACCCACCAGTATAAAGGGACAACAGACAGCAGCGTTTAAACAGCACGGAACCCATAACGATTAAGTGTCCCTTGCTCACACATTGCGCTTCAGTGCGCAGTCGCAGTCCAGTAATTTCATTGCTGAAGGGTTTGCCTGAAAATGGGCTATCCCCCAAATCTGCTGGTTCAAAAATTAAAGTTTCCCATATGAGTCCTTTCCTTATGGTATGTGTTTCAATGGATTGGTTTAAGGGAAAATCTACAGGAAACCATGGTTTTTCCCATTAAATATGGTCTTTTCCTGTAAAATTTCCCTTAAACCAATCCATTGAGTGTTGCGGTAAACGTACCCCATTTTTCTGACACATTCTGACTAATGGCAATTGAAGATCTCCAAGTTTGGAGGAGTCACCAGAAGGCCATTTCGGCCATTTCTTTGGTTAAGTGGTTTATGGCCAGCTTACCCTCTGGATCCCTCTGGTAATTTGTTACATAGCTATTGAATCAACTTGAATATGGCAATTTATTGTTGATTTAGCTTTAAAAAAAATGTGATTTTCCATAACTATGTAAACGTTTATCAGAGGGTAAGTGTTGGGAAAAACAAGCGTTTTGGTCAAGATAATATAATCCATTGGTTGATCATCATAATAGTCCATTAAGGGAATTCCTATAAACCAAGCCTTTTCGTCAAGTTTTTGTCGGTAACCCCTGATGTGGGGAGGAATGTCAAACAAGGGTCAAACCAGGTAGATCAGCGGGGTAGCAGGGTTTGTGGCAGGTCTCAACCACATGATCGGAGAAGCCAACCGTAAAGAGAAAGCTCTCAAGGAGGACCGCCAGAAAACTTGGGCAACTTGAGGGAGAAATATTTGAACCAAAGAAGTTGTGGGGTGTTTAAACAACTAACCATGCATAATGAGGATTACATCAACCAAATTGAGAATTTTGTTTGGAAACTAAATAGCTCATGTTGGCCAAATGTAGGATTGCATTCTTGATGACTGGGAGATTCAGGACAATATTCCTAGTGTTCTTCTTTTGATCCCCACCATTGCTAGTTTCATTTGGAAGCATTTTGTCATCTGATCAAGGAAGGCTGGAATGAATGTCTCCAGCCTAAGCTACATATTCTACTACTTGACACTCATATATTCCATCCATAGTAGACATATTATTCTCATGACGGCATTGATGTTTGTAGGTCGTACACATAGTGATGTAAATGTCAACACTGTGTCCACTGGAGCAACCAATATGAGAATTTCGCCAAGAACAATGTGAAATAGAGAAGTAAGTGGTTAAAAAGCCTGCATTGAATTTAAGGATATTCCATGTAACCGGAGACATATTTCATTTAATTAAGGATATTCCATATTGCCTGTATTTAATTAAGGATGACATATTAATTGAAGATATCTGGCAAGTGGTTTCAAATAGTTCTTTATCTTCAAGCAATGACTTGAGATGATGATCCCCAATGACTTGAGCATATTCTTTTGGGATTGGAACCCAACCAGTTATGTTTGTTGTTCTACCCTGTGGTAATTTAGCATAGCTATGGAAAATGCTCCATGTATGGATGATTCACACATACATATATATATATATATACATATATATAATTATGCATATATATATATATAATTATATGTATATATGTGTACCTATCGAAAATTGTGATGTTCCAGTTCGCAAACTGTTCAACAACCACTGGGTCTATTTGGGGTTTCGCCGGCGCTGTTGGAGGTGACGCGCTGAAAAAAATTCTTCGCGCTTTCCTCCACATCGTAACCACGGGAAAGATTATCCTCCGGTAAACATACAAAAATCTATTGAAAATGGTCATCGAAATAGTTGAATTAGCCATTAATAGCATGGTGATTTTCCATAGTCATGTAAACGTTTACCGGAGGGTAGTATTCACAGTACATCATCCAGTTTCAGGGTTGATACCCTCTGGTAAACTAACATAACTATGGAAAATCACCATTTTCAATGGCTAAATCCACTATTTCGACTGGGCCATTTTCAGTCCAGGACTTTGACAAAAACTGCCGTCATTCATCCATTTCCAAGCAGAGGGATGTTCTATGGACTACCCGGCCTGGTTTCTACGTTTAACGAACTGGAAAGATCCACCATGCTATGTAGCTGGGAAAATCCACGACATTTCGACTGGGCCATGGCTTCAAGTTCGCTTTTTGTATGTTTACCAGAGGGTAACTCCTTTTTGACGGTCCCACTTTACGAAATGTTTCCAGGAAAAGGAGGAAAAGGAGAGGGCGAAGAAAGTTCGTTCCTGAAGCCAAGCCACTTTCGCATCTAAAACGATGCGGGATTTGCAGGATCTCATTGGTGAAGCAGCAACGTGGTGATTTTCACTGTAGGTTTGGATGAATTACTTGGAAATGATGCAGTAAATGGCAGTAAAGTAAAAATCATCTTAAACACCATGGATAGATCTTTTTTGATATCGGGCTTCCCGAATTTTTGTGACAAAATCACCACCAAATCATAGCAAATCCACAGCCGGGCAGCCAGCACTCTGGAGAAAAACGTCGTGCGGTCGTGGCTCTGGTGCGTTGCCAGGGTGAAATTGGGCCTGAAACTACTCCGAAATCACACGGTCCAGAAACCACATCTGGTTGGTGGTGACTGGAACCATGGAATTTTATGACTTTCCATTCAGTTGGGAATAATAGATCATAGTGGTTTAATGGATTTTAATGGATTTTAATGGATTTTCCCATCACATTGGAAATTTCATCATGCCAACTGACGAACTCCATCATTTTTCAGAGGTGTAGGCTCAACCACCAACCAGACATGGTTTATCATCATTTCCCCATGAAATGGTATAAAATGGCCATGTTGAGGGCAGACACCAATTTCAGACACGGCCAATTCGAAGAAGACACCCATGCTTTTCAAACTCGTATGATACCAGGGTGAAAAACAAGGAAGACTCGCCTGCCCCTTGTATCCTGCGATGCTGCTTGAGCGCACCCTTCACCATTTTGTCATATGTCATATCATTAGTCACCACGAATCATTCTAGTAACCCCCAAAATGAATCAAAATGAAAGAGCAAGTGTAAGATCCTATTAAAACAGTGTTAATTTCCTTTTGTTGTTCATATCTTTTTGGCCGTTACTGTGGTAATGATAACCACTATGTCTTTGATTTTCCTGATCGTCCTGAGGCAAAACAAATTCGTCTCGAAAATGGCTTCATAATACCTACAAGGTTTCAAGTTTCGACCCCCCACTGATGTTTTTTTAAACCCCAGTGAATACATGTGAATACCATAGGTATCTCATAAACATCCACAAACCCATGGTATAAACCAGGTTATAAGTCAACTTCGCTATCGTAAACGGATGCCCAGCCCATGAAATGTGGCTCGAGCCGACCGCCCTTTTTTGGATGGCCATGGATGTCTGCAGAGTTTCCAAACACAAGGTGTTGGGCATGCTATGTGGCCTTCTCGCCTGGGCATTTGGATCTTTTGGTGTCGGCTTCGCTTCAGCCGGCCGCTCCGGGGATGTTCGGACCACTCGTTGTGCACAGTCGACTGACGCTGAAGGGCCGGTTCCAGCCTTGAGATTTTTAGGCGATCCTGATCTGATGCAGCCTCAGCCAGAGGTATCGGAGGAGGTGCAAGGAGCAGAATTCCAGAGTCGCTTGAAGATCCTGAAGGAAGCCATGAGCAAATACGGTGGCTGATTGGTGGTTTGGAACATGGCTTTTATTGTCTTTCCAGAAACAGTTGGGAATGGAATGTCATCATCCCAATTGTTACTCACTCCATCATTTGTCAGAGGGGTAGGTCAACCACCAACCAGGTGGGATTGGCATTGCAGCACCTCAAATTGGATGGTGGGTCCGTGCCATGTGCTTCGGCATTGAAGATGGGAATCCACGCTATCCTGCTGCACCTCCAGTGTCTTTCCAGTATTGGATCAACCCCGAAACTTGGAGATGCTGGTACAGTTATGGCCATTTATTAGTTATAACTGGTTATTTCTATGGGATCATACATTCTATAAATGGGGTTTTGTTAGTACTTATAACTGGTAAAGGGCCATAACTGTAGTTTCTTTCATTTCCCAATCTGCTAATCCACCCTTACGGAGTCTCTTGGGAATCAAACATGGAGGTTTCCTAAAATAGGTACCTCCTAAATGATCCAAAATTAGACCATTTTAAATTTCGTATTGAAACCAATGGTCTTGGGGATCTCCCATTTTAACAAACCTCCACATGGTTTTCTGAAAAATCGTCCATTGAGTTCGAACATTGTCCTAGAAACCCCCATGGCTAGTGGATCCTCCATATCTGCGGGAGATGTTCCATTCAATACTCCATTGATATCGGGGATGTTCCCACCTAAATGCCCATGAAATATTGGCGATGTCCCATGAAAATCTCAATTTTATAGTGGATGTTCATAAAGATGTCCCATCAAAAGCAACATATCATTCCATATCTATAGAGTCTCATTGGGGATTTCACATCCATCTCGGGCCTACGTTGATTTCCCAAAACCCTCTTGGACCATCCCAGGAGATAACTTGGTTCAGCGAGGAGACGAGTTGGATGTGGGAAGGCTGCCTTTCTGTGCCAGGTCTGCGTGGCTGGGTGGAGCGCCCTCGCGAGATTCGCATGAAGGGCCTGAACGAGCACGGTGAGTCACATGGATTTTGTTCGAAAACCGTGGGAATAGATGGGGATACAATGAAAATAGGGAGAAAATATATATAATATACCAGTAGTACCCGCACGAGGCGGGGCGGAAGTTGCCTTAAAGATATATATAGACCTTTCTCATCTATAGAACTTGCCTGCGCCGTGCGCCAGCCAAGCCGGTGCGTGCGTGCACTCTGCGGAACTGATGTCTTGTTTCACATGTCACATTTGAAGCTCCATTTCGCACTTCGCGCTTCTCACTGCAGTCTTCACACTCCACACTACACACTTCACACTCCACACTTCACACTGCACTCTTAAGACTCCACACTTCACAATTCACACTCCACACTTCACACTCCGCACTTCACACGTCACACTGCACTCTTCGCACTCCAAACTTCACACTTCACAGTCCACACTTCACACTTCACAGTCCACACTTCTCACTTCTCACTGTTTTCTTCACACTCCAAACTTCACACTTCACACTTCACACTGCACCCTTCACGCCCCACGCTTCACACTGCACTCTTAAGACTCCACACTTCACACTTCACACTCCACACTTCACACTCCGCACTTCACACGTCACACTGCACTCTTCGCACTCCAAACTTCACACTTCACAGTCCACACTTCACAGTCCACACTTCTCACTTCTCACTGTTTTCTTCACACTCCAAACTTCACACTTCACACTTCACACTGCACCCTTCACGCCCCACGCTTCACACTGCACTCTTCACACTCCACACTTCATCTCATCTTGAGCCCTTCTCACCTTATCCCAGCTCATCTCTTCTCATCTCATCTCTTCTCATATGTCATCTAAGCTTTCATGAATCACTTCCCAGTACTACTAATCACTGTCGCAGCCTTGATGCACCCACTCCAATACGATTTGCGATCTTCAGCTGCAAAAGACAATAGTATTACGCATGCAGCCGCTGCGCCAAGCAACCCTGACGCAGCCATCCCAATGCGATCTGCAAAGACTGAGTTGCAAAACACAATAGAACTACGCGCAACGGCGTCGGAAATTGCAGCTCCAAAACCGGATCTCGAGCCTACCCCTTTGAAAAATATTAGTTCGTCACTTGGGATGATGACATTCCCAATATATGGAAAGTCATAAAATTCATGTTCCAAAGCACCAACCAGATTAAATCACCATGCTAATGCCATTAGATATCATTCTTCCCATGGTATTCGGAAGATATTCCCCATTAAACCACCGTTAAATCTCATTGAGTTCCATTAACCCACCATTAACCCACCATTTTCGCTACCAGGAACTGTTCTCCATACCACTTTTGAAGCGCTTTTTAAAAGGAATTTTTAAAGGAAAATTACTAGCGCCAAAGTTGAGAAAATCTGCTGACAAATCACTATCGCAGCGTGGATGCACCCAAAAGCTCTGGTTAGGCTAAATTCTATCTATTAGGTTATATCTTGTTTTCTGACTATTAGTTAAATTTTGTTTTTACCTATTAGGTAAAACAACTGTTTTACCTAATAGTCAGAATGATCAAATAACCCTTTTTTTCTTTAGGTTATTTATATGAATAACTTTTTTCCTTACAGGTTATTTATGTGAATAACCTGTTTTGGTACCTTTTTTTGGAACAACTTCGGTTTCTTTATTTATAAAAATATCTATCTATATTGCAATCTCCAATGAAGCATTTTTTGATTTGATACATTTTTCCGATAAAATGATGCTGAAAAAACTACATACAAAAGAAAAACAAAAACCATATACTTTGGATGGGACAAACCAACACAGGATAGAAACAAAAAACACATGTCAAAAAATAAATATATTGTATATACATGGATATGTCTCAAAACGAGGTGTCTTTTTTGGTTCCAAAAAGGGTTCTTTGAGAGGAAAAAAGGACACCTCATTTTGAGACAACCCCGCACACACACACTTTTATATGTATATATATATAAATTAATGCATAAATTTACACACACACATATATATATATATATACATACATGTATGCATATATATATATACATACATATGTACATATATATATATATTTAAATGTGAATCAATAAAACAATAAATAAATAACTGTATAGTTTTAAAAATATAAAAATAACAAATCATGTTTTGCAAAAATCAGCAATTATTTTTTTCGGGGCGCGAAACCACCACATGACAAAACAAAAAAAACATAAAACATAAAAATAGAATTAATGTTCAGTTCAAGAAAAAACAATTAAATCAAAAACTCACATAGCCAACAACCCAAAATAAGAAGTTCAAAAACTGTGAGACATATGGTTCAACAAGTAATTTGCCAGCTGCATTGTATTTGGAAAAACACGAATTCATGTGATTTCATGGGTGCTCATGCGCGCTCAAGTGCTCATGGGTGTCCATGGATGTACATGGTTGTTCTTGCGTGTGTATGGATGTTCATGTGTTTTTGTTTGTTTGTAGCTTTGTTTTGCTGCCATCCAATTTCTTTGAACTTAAAAAAATGAACTTGAGATGGAGGTCCCAGCCCTGGGCTGATTTCTTTCTTGAATTATCGGCAATCCAAGGGTTTTGAAGGGGCCTTTTTGAAATCAGTTCGGGCAGCAGTAGTTTCTTAAGACAAACTGTCAAGACTGGATGGCCTTTCATTTGTCAAAAGCAGTGGTCGGCAAAAAAAAATGAAGAAAAGTCCTGGTGAGGATTGGTTGTATTCATTTTTTTTGCAAAAACTAAACGGCCAATCCAGCCCAGACTTGATCAATCACTAAAGGGCCTCCAGCCCTGGATATCAGAAAACCAACACAAAGATTAACAATCACCTGGGGCTCTCCATCCTTGACATTTATGCCAAAAAAAATGCGACTAAAAACAAACAATGACTTGGGGTGTTTAGCATTCACATTTTCTATGCAGTTAAAGCTGGAATTTGCCATTAAATTTTGGGTTTTGCAGTTTTCAGATTCATGTTTACAAAAAGAAGGAAAAAAGTTGTCAATCCCAGAGCCCATCCATTACGAATCAGTTTTCTTCCTCAAACCTATTTGCAAGAAAATGCAATCCAACCCAGAGTTAATCAATCACTTGGGCCTTCCCATGCCAATCCATTTCCTAAAAATTAATCCAAATGTTTTGCAATTTTGCAATGACTTGGGGCCCTCCAGTCATCAAATTCATTAACATTTGCATGGGAAAAATTCTCCCAGAAAGTGTATGATTGAAGATTTTTTGATGGAAAAAATGACTGATCAAACATTTTTTTGAAAAAAACACATGTTTTTTTAACTAAAAACCAAGATTTTTTTGAATAAAATCAAGTTTTGTTTTGAACAAATCCAAGATTTTTGAAGATTTTCAAGGACATGAGGTGTAAGTTTGATGTAAGTTTGCATCAAACTTACACTTTTGAGGTGTAAGTTTACATCAAACTTACACTAAACTTACACATCAAGAGTGTAAGTTTACACCAAACTTACATATCCAAAGTGTAAGTTTACATCAAACTTACATATCAAAAGTGTAAGTTTACATCAAACTTACACTGAGAAGTGTAAGTTTGCACTTGTATGTGTAAGTTTGATGTAAACTTACACTTTTGATATGTAAGTCTGGTGTAAACTTACACTCTTGATGTGTAAGTTTAGTGTAAGTTTGATGTAAACTTACACCTCAAAAGTGTAAGTTTGATGCAAACTTACATCAAACTTACACCTCATTTCCTTGAAAATCTTCAAAAAGTCTTGGATTTGTTCAAAAAAACATTGATTTTATTCAAAAAAAACTTGGTTTTTAGTCAAACAAATGATGTTTATTCAGCAAAAATGTTGATTTTATTTTAAAAAAACTTGTTTTTTAAAAATATTTTTTGTCAAAAAATGTTTGGTCAATCACTTTTTTCCATCAACAAATCTTCAATCATACACTTTCTGGGAGAATTTTTCCCATGCAAATGTTAATGAATTTGATGACTGGAGGGCCCCAAGTCATTGCAAAATTGCAAAACATTTGGATTAATTTTTAGGAAATGGATTGGCATGGGAAGGCCCAAGTGATCGATTAACTCTGGGTTGGATTGCATTTTCTTGCAAATAGGTTTGAGGAAAAAAAAACGTAGTAATGGATGGGCTCTGGGATTGACACCCCTTCTCTTTATTTTGGGTAAATTCTGGGTTTACTTTGCCTCAAAGACATGAATGCTGATCACCTCAAGTCACTTGCATTGTCTGGTGGTTTCGTTGTTTTTTTCAATGGGGAGAAAGGCTACGGATGGAGAGCCCCAGGTGATTGCAAGTCTTTGGGCAGGTGTTTTGATGTAAAAAGGTTTGAGGGATGGAGACCCCCTTAGTGATTGATCAAGTCTTGGCTGGATTGCTCCGTTTAGTTTTTGCAAAAACAACTTGAATACAACCAATCCTCACCAAGTAAGTCTTCAAACATTTTGTGCTTGCCACTACCTCTTACAAGTGAAAAACCTTCCAGTCTTGACAGTTTTTGTTTATGAATCTGTTACTGGCCAACGTTCAAGTTGATTTCAAAAAATGCCCTTCAAAGCCAGGGTTTGCCAATGATTTGGGGTTCTCTAGCCCCAAATTTATCTTAAAAAAAACAAATAACCATCGAGTCCAAGCTGACCAAGAACTCAGGGATTTCCATCTGGTCACCAAGGCACAGGTTTTGCAGCCAAATAGCAGCGCATGAGACAAAACCACCAACCAAATCAGCAAGTGTCTAAACTTGTTTTTTTGGTTGGGTTCGCGCGCCGGGGGGCAGCCATTTTATACCCAAGAAACGCGCGCGAACCTCGCGAAAAATACTTTGATTTTTCTTTTTGGGCATGGAAACCCACTGAGTAAGCTAAATGTGTGGCAGCCGAAAAAATTGAAAAACACACATGAACACCCATGAGCAATGAGCACCCCTGAATTCACATGAACTCCTCTGAGTTTCAAAAACGATGCAGCTGACAAGTTAGCTTTTGGACAATTGTTTTCACATTTTTTGATTTATTACTGTGTGTTGTTGTTTTTGCATTTGTTGGTTTTATTTTTCTTCTTGTTTTTGGTTGTTCATCCTGTGCTGGCTTGGCGCTCCCAAAAACTATCCATTGCCATTGTTGCAAAACATGTTTTTTTTCTTGTTTGGGTATGTCTGAAAATGAGGTGACCTTTTTTCCCTTCAACGTAACCATTTTGGGGTCAAAAAAGGACACTTCATGTTGAGACATACCCATTTGCTCATATTGTTTTGGACATGTGTTTTTGTTGCTTCCATGCTGTGTTGGTTTGCCCCATCTAAAACCGACTGAAATTTACAGATTCACTTTAGCACAAAAGGCTTCACTTTAGCACAAAAAATCACTTCAGACCCGCATATATCAAAAGAAAGCGACATACATCACTCACAAAACAATGAAGAAACATTTGAAAAACTATTTGCCAAAAAACATGTAATTCAAAAATTCCAAAGGAAACAAATATGGAAAAAGACTGCGTCTTTAGTTTAAACTGTTGAAAATATAGTTTGGTGAAAGAAAAACAAAGTCTCAAACAAGACAGTTTTTAGGTTATTCGGCTAAATAAACTATTTAAACAGGCAAACAACCTAAAAGACAGAACATGAAATAACCTAATAGATAGAATTTAACCTTAAAAACGAAAATAACCTAATAGGCAGGAATTAGCCTAACCAGAGCTTTTGGGCAGCCATTCCAATACGATTTACGATGCTCAGCTGCAAAAGGCAATAGTATTACGCATGCAGCCACTTTACACGGAAAAACACAAGGTTTCGTGCTCCGGCTTCCTCCCCAAAACATAGCCCATGCAACATTCATGCAGCCATTCGAATGCAATCTGCAACCAGAGATTCGAGAACCGCATAGAACTACGCACACAGGAACAACCACTCGTTGCAAAACACATAGGAGGAACAATTCGCGCATGAAACGACCCCAGCCGCACCCGCCGCACAGACGAGGTACCTTTCTTCGCCGGCTGCAGCCACTTTACACGGAAAAACACAAGGTTTCGTGCTCCGGCTTCCTCCCCAAAACACAACCCATGCAACATTCATGCAGCCATTCCAATGCGATCATGCAACCAGAGATTCCAAAACACCCTATAACTACGCACACAGGAACAACCACTCGTTACAAAACACATAGGAGGAACAATTCGCGCATGAAACGACCCCAGCCGCACCCGCCGCACAGACGAGGTACCTTTCATCGCCGGCTGCAGCCACTTTACACGGAAAAACACTCCTCCCCAAAACATAACCCATGCAACATTCATGCAGCCATTCCAATGCGATCATGCAACCAGAGATTCAAGAACCGCATAGAACTACGCACACAGGAACAACCACTCGTTGCAAAACACATAGGAGGAACAATTCGCGACAGAAACGACCCCAGCCGCACCCGCCGCAAAGACGAGGTACCTTTCATCGCCGGCTGCAGCCACTTTACACGGAAAAACACAAGGTTTCGTGCTCCGGCTTCCTCCCTCAAACATAGCCCATGCAACATTCATGCAGCCATTCCAATGCGATCTGCAACCACAGCTTCAAGAACCGCATAGAACTACGCACACAGGAACAACCACTCGTTGCAAAACACATAGGAGGAACAATTCGCGCATGAAACGACCCCAGCCGCACCCGCCGCACAGACGAGGTACCTTTCATCGCCGGCTGCAGCCACTTTACGCGGAAAAACGCAAGGTTTCGTACTCCGGCTTCCTCCCCAAAACATAACCCATGCAACATTCATGCAGCCATTCCAATGCGATCTGCAACCACAGCTTCAAGAACCGCATAGAACTACGCACACAGGAACAACCACTCGTTGCAAAACACATAGGAGGAACAATTCGCGCATGAAACGCCCCCAGCCGCGCCCGCCGCACAGACGAGGTACCTTTCTTCGCCGGCTGCAGCCACTTTACACGGAAAAACACAAGGTTTCGTGCTCCGGCTTCCTCCCCAAAACATATCCCATGCAACATTCATGCAGCCATTCCAATGCGATCATGCAACCAGAGATTCAGGAACCGCATAGAACTACGCACACAGGAACAACCACTCGTTGCAAAACACATAGGAGGAACAATTCGCGACAGAAACGACCCCAGCCGCACCCGTCGCACAGACGAGGTACCTTTCATCGCCGGCTGCAGCCACTTTACACGAAAAACACAAGGTTTCGTGCTCCAGCTTCCTCCCCAAAACATAGCCCATGCAACATCATGCGCCATTCCAATTGCGACATGCAACCAGAGATTCAAGAGAAACCGCATAGAAACTACGCACACCGGAACTACGCACACAGGAACAACCACTCGTTGCAAAACACATAGGAGGAACCGAATTCGCTGAAACGACCCCAGCCGCACCCGCCGCACAGACGAGGTATACCTTTCATCGCCGGCTGCAAGCCACTTTACACGGAAAAACACAAGGTTTCGTGCTCCGGCTTCCTCCCCAAAACATAACCCATGCAACATTCATGCAGCCATTCCAATGCGATCATGCAACCAGAGATTCAAGAAACCGCATAGAACTACGCACACAGGAACAACCACCATCGTTGCAAAACACATAGGAGGAACAATTCGCGCATGAAACGACCCCAGCCGCACCCGCCGCACAGACGAGGTACCTTTCATCGCCGGCTGCAGCCACTTTACGCGGAAAAACGCAAGGTTTCGTACTCCGGCTTCCTCCCCAAAACATAACCCATGCAACATTCATGCAGCCATTCCAATGCGATCTGCAACCACAGCTTCAAGAACCGCATAGAACTACGCACACAGGAACAACCACTCGTTGCAAAACACATAGGAGGAACAATTCGCGCATGAAACGACCCCAGCCGCACCCGCCGCACGGACGAGGTACCTTTCATCGCCGGCTGCAGCCACTTTACACGGAAAAACACAAGGTTTCGTGCTCCGGCTTCCTCCCCAAAACATATCCCATGCAACATTCATGCAGCCATTCCAATGCGATCTGCAACCACAGCTTCAAGAACCGCATAGAACTACGCACACAGGAACAACCACTCGTTGCAAAACACATAGGAGGAACAATTCGCGCATGAAACGACCCCAGCCGCACCCGTCGCACACACGAGGTACCTTTCATCGTCGCCTGCAGCCACTTTACACGGAAAAACACAAGGTTTCGTGCTCCAGCTTCCTCCCCAACACAAAGCCCATGCAGCCATTCCAATGCGCACCACTTCCCTTCGTCACCACTTCCCTTCTTCACCACTTCCCTTCGTCACCACTCCCCTTCATCATCACTTCCCTTCGTCACCACTTCCCATCGTCACCACTTCCCTCCGTCACCACTTCCCTTCGTCACCACTTCCCATCGTCACCACTTCCCTTCGTCCACTTCCCATCGTCACCACTTCCCTTCGTCACCACTTCCCTTCGTCACCACTTCCCTTCGTCACCACTTCCCATCGTCACCACTTCCCTTCGTCACCACTTCCCATCGTCACCACTTCCCTTCGTCACCACTTCCCTTCGTCACCACTTCCCTTCGTCACCACTTCCCATCGTCACCACTTCCCTTCGTCACCACTTCCCATCGTCACCACTTCCCTTCGTCACCACTTCCCATCGTTACCACTTCCCTTCGTCACCACTTCCCTTCGTCACCACTTCCCTTCGTCACCCTTCATGTACTCTCACACCACCCTTCATGTAAAGTCTCACACCACCCTTCATCAAGGTCAAGTCTCAATATGATGTATTGTTATGTCATGTAAAGTCTCACACCACCCTTCATCAAGGTCAAGTCTCAATGTGATGTATTGTTATGTCATGTAAAGTCTCACACCACCCTTCATCAAGGTCAAGTCTCAATGTGATGTATTGTTATGTCATGAAAAGTCTCACACCACCCTTCATCAAGGTCAAGTCTCAATCGCGCACCACCCTTCATCATTTCAAGTCTCAGAATTCTATTTGTCCGTAACACGGAAGTATTGCTTCCCAACTTCCTTTGATAATATATATAATTATATTATATATATATATCGAATGAAAACAATGATAGATGATGGTATGTTAGGGAAATCCTATGGAAAATTGTGGATTTGTGACCTTTAAAAATAGGGATAAACCATCAACAGATAGCGAATCTAATGGGATTTCATGGGGATATCATGGCTTTGTTGAGTGATCTGGCTGATTTTCCCAGGAATCCACAAAATCTGGAATTGATTCAGGGAATATGTTTTATTTTCTGGAGTTCCTTAAGCAAATCCAAGGTCAGTGGAAGTGCACTTCAAAGGTGTCCTGGATTTGATTAAATTCCCATGTTTTCGCACTGGCGAATCGACCATTTAAAGGGAGGCCTCCCATTAAAAAAGAGCTTTATAAGCCCCACTTTCACTATGATTGTGTCCCCCATGAACACAACAGTTCACCAAGTGAACTGTGCCTCACCTGGGGGCCTCACGCCTTGTAAATTCCAAGGTTTAGCGGCCCGAATCGCCCAGCACGAGTTTGATCACCTCGATGGTGTCTTGTTTCCCTTCCGAGTCGAAAGTGCCAAGTTTCCTGGCCTGGAAGATTTTGATCAAAATCTGCGGGGACCCCCTGGTGATATCTGCTATGGATTGCTGTAAAGTCCGAAAGTCCGCCATTTTTTAGGGAGATTTTTCAGAAAAAATCCTCCATATCGATAGGAGATGTTCCATTCAAATCTCCATTTACTTTGGGTGATTTTCTCACATCACCATACATCACCCCTTTTTCATTTGGGGATGTTCTTTCCCTGGGGGTTAGTCATGTGGGATCCACAATACCATAGCTTTCAGTACCAAAAATGGTCATCCATTTTCGTTGGATGATGGCAAGGGGGACCACCATGACGAAACGGAAACCACCTTTTGGGTCACCCTTCAACTCCCAAGCTGGTTGGTGGTTTGGTTGGGAATAACCATCCTAACTGACTTTGATATTTTTCAGGGGTAGGTCAACCACCCACCAACCAGCAAGGCTTTTGGTGCCAAACAGCGTCTTCGACGGCAAGGAGCAGTGGCAAAGCGATTGGCCAACGCCCGGAAGTTTCCGGACGAAAGCTGGAGATCTGTCCCTGCAGAAGTGAGCTCCGACCAGTCAAAAGAGCCGTGGAGGGAGGGTCAACCCATGGGATTAAACCAATGATTTACCCGGCCTGGTAAACTAACAAAAAGCGAACTTGAACATGGCCATAGAAATAGTGAGTTTTCCCATTAATAGCACGGTGATTTTCCATAGTTAAGTTATGAACTATAGAAAATCACCATTTTGAATAGGTAAATCAACTATAAATGGTGTATTTTCCATAGTTGTGTTAAACTACCAGAGGGTAATGATCTGATTCCTCGGAAATTATCCATGGAAATAATTACTTTATGGGATTTCACCAAGAAACATGGAGGTCAACCAACCATATAATGATGATGTAATCGGATATATATATATAACCAACTTGAGCACTGTTCAAAACCCCTGTTGGTTGATGACTGCAAGAGGTTTCAACTTTCTATATATTGGGGGTTATCATGATCCATTACGGGAACCCCTATATTTTGAAACCAGCACAAATGGGGTGGGTATACTCTCCGGTGGCAATTGAAAATTCCCCAGTTATAGATTATGTTCCCACTTTTACCTCCATATCTATAGCGGATTTCCCATTGAAACGTTGATTACCAGAGGGTACCTGCATTGCAGTTCCAGCTAACTGTAACTAGACTTAGATCTATAAAATGATATATAACCAAGGTTACAAGGGTTATATCCCAACTTTTGGAGTTCATAACAAAGCATGGTTATGCCCTCATCATCCCAACTGCACCAGGGAGCCCTATGATTTTTGCGGGTCACTAAGGAACAGTACTGGTATGACAGCAGTGGAAAAATTGGGATAGCCCATTCTTAGAGACCCAAATTCTCAGTTTGGGCCTCGAGCGGGGCCTTATATAACTTGTAGCATTTATGAATTGATTTTATGGGCCAGCAAAAAAAAAACAAAAATGCCCCTGTTGCCTGTTGATTGATTATAGTGTGTTATTTGGGTATAAGGGATAAGTAAAACCCAAATAGGATATCATTGGAACCTAGTAGCCGCGGCCAACCATGGCCTCATCTCCTTCATGTTGATGAGCGAAATCTGGTAGTGCTTCAGGTCAAAAGCATGTTAGAGCACCAAAAAAACAAGGTTATGATTGGTTTATGAAATTATGATTGGTTTATGAAGTTATGATTGGTTTATGAAGTTCCCACTTTCAATAATCCCACTTCATAAACCAATCATAAACCATAAAGCCATCATAACTTCAATGGGATTGTTTGGACCCTATAATAGAGGTACCGTACCTTTTTTGAGGCCATATGTTCGCATTCTACCCCCACGCTGCCTCAATCCCCCATGATAAATCATGAGAATCCCAATACCCTCCCGTAAACTAACACTTTGCCATCGAAAATCATCATTTTTAATAGGTAAATCAACTATAAATAGGCCATGTTCAATAGCTATGGCCAATTGCCAGAGGGTATTTCGAAGATCATATCAGTTACCTTCCAAAAAACTTACATAGATCTGGGCAAATTATAACGACCTCATTGCGACCTCGCTGGAATCCTGGTTAATAAGGGAAATTATCCCCAAATGTCCCAACAATTCAAGTGAGTGAAATATTAAAATTTACCCAGATTGATGGTGATTACTAGTGATTACCAATGATTGATAGTGCTTAATGTTGATTACAAGTGATTTTCATGGTGACTGATAGTGATTACACATGATTACTATAGTGATTACCAATGATTAATTTACCCAGATAGATGTGGATTACCAATGATTAATCTACCCAGATAGTGATTTAGTGATTACCAATGACTAATTTACCCAGTAAAATTAGTGATTAGTGATAGTGGAGAAAATCTGTCATGTGAAGATAGAGTAATGGTGATTAATGGTGACTACCCAGACTAATTTACTATCACTAATTTCTAGTAAATTTACGCGCAAACACCCCGATTCGCCCACGCCCCTTCTATGCTGTACACTTGGGGATATCAAACGTTAGACGTTACATTCAATTGGGAAGATCAACAAGGGTATTTAGGGAATATAAATTTCCGACCCCCGTTAAATTTCTACATTCATTGAAGATCTTCAATAAGGGTTTAATTCTCCCACCCCCGTTAAACTTCTACATTCATTGAAGATCTTCAACAAGGGTTTAATTTTCCCACCCCCGTTAAACTTCTACATTCATTGAAGATCTTCAAGCAGGGTTTAATTCTCCCACCCCCGTTAAACTTCTACATTCATTGAAGATCTTCAACAAGGGTTTAATTTTCCCACCCCCGTTAAACTTCTACATTCATTGAAGATCTTCAATAAGGGTTTAATTCTCCCACCCCCGTTAAACTTCTACATTCATTGAAGATCTTCAATAAGGGTTTAATTCTCCCACCCCCGTTAAACTTCTACATTCATTGAAGATCTTCCAATAAGGGTTTAATTCTCCCACCCCTTTTAAACTTCTACATTCATTGAAGATCTTCAATAAGGGTTTAATTCTCCCACCCCCGTTAAACTTCTACATTCATTGAAGATCTTCAACAAGGGTTTAATTTTCCCACCCCCACTAAACTTCTACATTCATTGAAGATCTTCAAGCAGGGTTTAATTCTCCCACCCCCGTTAAATTTCTACATTCATTGAAGATCTTCAATAAGGGTTCAATTCTCCCACCGTTAAACTTCTACATTTATTGAAGATCTTCAATAAGGATTTAATTCTCCCACCCCCGTTAAACTTCTACATTCATTGAAAGTCTCCAAGAAGGGTTTAATTCTCCCACCCCCGTTAAATTTCTACATTCATTGACAGTCTTCAATAAGGGTTTACTTCTCCCACCCCCGTTAAACTTCTACATTCATTGAAGATCTTCAAGCAGGGTTTAATTCTCCCACCCCCGTTAAACTTCTACATTCATTGAAGATCTTCAATAAGGGTTCAATTCTCCCACCGTTAAACTTCTACATTTTTTGAAAATCTTCAATAAGGGTTTAATTCTCCCACCCCCGTTAAACTTCTACATTCATTGAAAGTCTCCAAGAAGGGTTTAATTCTCCCACCCCCGTTAAACTTCTACATTCATTGACAGTCTTCAATAAGGGTTTACTTCTCCCACCCCCGTTAAACTTCTACATTCATTGAAGATCTTCAAGCAGGGTTTAATTCTCCCACCCCCGTTAAACTTCTACATTCATTGAAAGTCTCCAAGAAGGGTTTAATTCTCCCACCCCCGTTAAATTTCTACATTCATTGAAAGTCTTCAATAAGGGTTTACTTCTCCCACCCCCGTTAAACTTCTACATTCATTGAAGATTTTCAATAAGGGTTTGAAGATGATGATGATGATGATGATGATGATGATGATGTGTAAGAGACTCGCACAGGTCCCTATGCTGTGCGTGCCGATATACAACATGAAGTTGGCCATGATGCAATAAACTCCCATTTTTACCACGTGTTCAGCACATACGAAGATGGCCGCCGACAAGCGCGGGCAAATCGAGGTGTTTGCCCGTAAATTTACTATCACTAATTTACTTACCCTCTGGTAAACTAACATAGCTATTGAAAATGGCCATTTATAGTGGATTTACCCATTAAAAATAGTGATTTTCCATAGCTATGTTAAATTACCAGAGGGTAATGGTGATTACCCAGAAAGATGTGGAGAAAATCCATGGGAAAATTGTGGCCCAAACCTCCAGTGGCGCCGTTGACTCCGGAGCGAGGTGTGGCGCGTCGAAAGAAACGGTAGGGAGAAATGATGGCATCTTCCACGGCGAAGTAGGGAATTTAAGCATCAACAATGAATAAATGAGGGTTTAATATGGTTTGATATGGTTTGATGTGGTTTAATATGGTTTGATATGGTTTGATGTGGTTTAATGTGGTTTGATATGGTTTGATGTGGTTTAATGTGGTTTAATGTGGTTTAATGTGGTTTAATGTGGTTTAATGTGGTTTAATGTGGTTTAATGTGATTTGATATGTTTTGATATGGTTTAATATGCTGAAAAGGCTGTTGAAGAGTCGTAAGTTGGGGAAACCTTGACTTGATGGGTATTTTGTGATTCTGTCTCATGAAAAACGGATCAAAAGGAAGGCTTAACATTGTTTATTCAAGAAAATATGGTGAAAAAAGCCATTGAAGATAGGGGTAAATGATGGTGAATTTGGGAAAACCCACTAAATGCATGGTTATTGGTAGTATAGTACTCAAATATTTTGCCATGTTCATGGGGATATAAACTAATCAGATTGAAAAGAAACATTTGGTATCTAAGATCAATCATGAAGAGTGAAAATTACCTATAGAATGTGTAGTTTACCCACAAAGATATGTTTTGACCAACCAATATTCCAGGTTAAACCATCCGAAGTATAGGAGAAACCGCATGGTTACGGTGGATCTTGATGTGAGATCTGGATCCATCCTGGTTTCACATGGACCCACTTTGTTGTGTTGGCAGCAACAAAGATATTGGGGGCTACCCCCGAATGGTCGTTTCAACTAGCTTGTTCTTTTCAGAAGCAAATGGGATGGAGCCCCGATTGACTTTGAGTATGCTCTCGCGATCAGAATTGAAATCGCCAAGCTTTTGATTTTTGTGCCTTCACACCTATCAACCAGTAGGTTTGTGGATGAGAGATGTCACATTTTCCAGGTGAGGCAGCCTGATATAAGTTGAGTTATAAACCCCATTAGCCCATTAACGAGGATTATCGACAGTGACATCAGCAATACACTGTGCGTCAATACTGAGCTATCAACGGGGGGGGGCAGCCCCTGGCGCGAAGTTATTCCGGACCATCCCCTTTTTGTGGGGCCAGGGCAGCCCGACAAATTTTGGCAAATTGCAAGGACCTCACATCAACCAAGCCCAATATAATGGTGATGGTTTATATTTTATGTATATTATGGATGATGATGGATATGGGTTGGAAATTGGTGTGGTTTCTTTGTGTTATCATTGTTGTCATAGCTATTCACAACTTTTCATAAGTATATTATTGTGGAAGGATTATAACATAGCAACATACTTCG